CAAGAGTTTAGACCGGGTCTTGAAAACAGGTCAGATTTAGCTCATACTGTTCATTACCCTCAAGAGTTTAGACCGGGTCTTGAAAACAGGTCAGATTTAGCTCATACTGTTCATTACCCTCAAGAGTTTAGACCGGGTCTTGAAAACAGGTCAGATTTAGCTCATACTGTTCATTACCCTCAAGGGTTTAGACCGGGTCTTGAAAATAGGTCAGATTAATGCTTCAATACTGAGCATAAATGCATATCTTCTTTGCAGACAATTTTGTCCACTTGGTCTATGTAACTAATATTACAGCTGTAGACAATGATATATGGATATTTAAATATTTTAGAGCATGTTTAACTACTTTCTTCTTGTTAAAATACTTTATTACTTAAGAACAAGTTGTCTGCGTTTATTTTGTTTTCTTTATATAATATGATTAAGACAGTGTGTACAGGTGTAATATTTAATAATCCTATGTTTGTTAAGCTGTTCACACAGACCTGAAATTTATTCAAAACTATGTTACTTAATCATGCTTGTGCTGATAAAAATGAACAATTCTCTTAAATTAAGCCATAAAAAACTTGCCGTTGCCATTTTTCTTGCATTTTCAAACCTGAAACATGGTCACAAGCTATTTCTTTTGAACTGGCATGCTCGATGACAAGGAACAAATCACTTTTTTTAAGTCTTATGTAAAGAGAGAAATTATTATATGTGCAGTTAAAGAGCAAATACATATATGATAATTTGTAAAGCTTTGATAACTGAAATATAAGTATGTGTGGTTTCATTCTGTTTCATACATTGCATCATAACAAAATGTCCACAGAGAAGACATTAACATTTCAAATAACACAGTGTAACACTCTACAACCATTGTGGTAGATTATCATCTCCCCTCCATTTTCACGATCTCGTTCCAGATAAACAAGGTGCATTTTATATTAATACCAAAAGTGTCATCCTTGCAAAATCAAATGTCATGTGATCACATGTTGTCAAATCAAACAGACTTTTGCTGTATTAGAGTTTCTGAGAATTGAATTATGTAACAGAGTCAGTAATCTTGGTGATTTGTTGGGAATTCAGTTGGCTCAAGCTTTGTGATTTCAGAATTTCGCATTTTCACACAGTTCCCTGTCGGTTTCAAACTTTTCAAAGCACTGTACTTTTGCTGTGTTTGTCATAGCTGTTTAATTCTGCACTGGGACACCTGCTCCAGACTTTCAATCATCGTAATGCATGTTTTTCTGAAAAATGTAATTAAAAGCGTGTTGAGTCATGACAGAAAGTCTTGACATTAGTATTAGTATATATCATTCTGAGCACAAAGCAATCTGGGAGCAATAAACACTTCTGAAACTGACTGATTCATTTTTTATTTTAGCCTCCAATACCTGGAGCAGGATCTGGAAGAAAGGTGAAACTGGATCAACCACTATCAGTGTCTGCAATTATCCAGAATGTCAAAGGTCATCTGAAATTACCATATGTGAGACTCGCACTTGGCAGAAATAAATCAACAGGTAAAATGGGGGGGGGGGGGCACATTCTTATACTTCTTTTACATAATAATTTTTGTTTTTTAAACTTTCCACTGAAAATTGTAATTGAAGCCCAGTCCTAATTTTTGAGACTCTGACAAATATTTATTGGTTTATTGTGTACAATCATGGTAATCAAATTTGTTTGTGCTTTGTTGTCATACAGACAAAATGGCCACTATTCACTAAATATAACCACTAATTTCTTTAAAAATAAACTGGTGATGCCAAACCATTTTTAAATAATCTTAAGCTTGGTAGCTTTTCACAAAAATGAGAGTGCAGTCTGTCATCTAATGTTTCAGTTCATTTGAAAACTGAAGTATACTTTTATAAATGCTTCTGACGTTAACTAGCACAGAATGGAATTTTTATGGCTATCTTAAAAATCCTGGATTTGATATCCAATCATATCACAATCACTATTTATTGTTTACAGATTCCATTGTACACAATGCAGCTGTTTGTGCTGGTTCTGGTAGCAGTGTTTTACAAGGATGCAGTGCAGATCTTTATTTGACTGGTGAAATGTCTCATCATGAAGTACTAGATGCTGTATCCAGGGGAACCACTGTCATCCTTTGTGACCATAGCAACACAGAAAGGGGATACCTTTCTGAGTTGAGAGATAAACTCACTGTATTGTTTGAAGACAAAGTGGATGTACATGTCTCTGGAATTGATAAAGATCCTTTGCAGATTGTATAAAATGTTTTTCAATTTCTGGAAAATAAATTTTTAAACAACTATGCAAATTTTGTCTAATTTCAATTTTATAACATTTTTGTAACTTGCATTCATCATGATTATGCAATTTAATGATTATGTATTAATCAATACTTACTAGAGTATGTTAAAAAGAATTAATTTTGGTTCAAAGGTCTGTTAAAAATTTGAGGCTTACATTGCTGAGTTCTTAAGTGGTGGCTATTTCATACAGAAACAAATTGTAGAACTTCATCCATCTTTTAAAAAGTGTATTCAACCAATATTATTGTACGGGTCTGAAATCTGGGGTCATGAAATTCAAGATTACAACAAATGGGACAAAACAATAACAGAAAAAACACAATTGAATTTTTACAAACAACTACTAGGATTGAACAAATTTGTGACAAACATTGCATGCAGAGCTGAAGTAGAAGAATTCCCACTCTTAGTAGATATTCAGATCAATTTAATAAAATACTGGACTCGTATCAGTAAATTACCAGGCAATAATATCACAAAACAAGCATACCTTGAACAAAAGAAATCCAATTTACAATGGTATTCTTCAATACAAAAAATTATGACAAGATGAATTTTTCACGAGAACAGAATGATTGGTTAACAAAACATATACAGCAAATTGGCAAAGTTGTCAAACAAAAATGGGTAAATTTCTGGAGAAAAAATATAACCGAAAAAACAAAACTGAGAACTTATGAAAAATTCAAAGACTCTTATAATTTTGAAAAATACTTGGATGTGTTGAATTTGAAGCAAAGAATTTCAATGACAAAATTTCGAACTAGTAATCACAATTTAGCAATAGAAAAAGGGAGGCATATGCAACCAAAAATACCGACTGAAAATAGAATTTGCAAACAATGTACACAGAATAAAATAGAAGATGAACTGCACTTTGTCATGATATGTCCACAATATAAAGTAATACGCCAACAAATCATTCAAGACATTACATTTCCAGAAGAAACACAGGATGATCTCCAGAAATTTAATTTCTTGATGACTTCAAAAGATGATGTAATAATAAAAAAGATTGGCAATTATATTCATAACACATTTCAATCAAGAAATGAAAATGCCATTTGATATGTAACACTTGCTTTATTCTATTAACAACTAACTTTCTTTTTGTAGTAGTAGTTATCACAACTAATCTTTATTGCTATTAACTGATAGAAACATTGTATTTCTAAGGATGCAATAAAGTTATTATTTATTATTATTATTATTATTATTATTATTGTTCACTGTATACCAAGGTGTATGTATACCAAGTTGGAACATTGTTCACTGTATACCATGGTGTATGTATACCAAGTTGGAACATTGTTCACTGTATACCATGGTGTATGTATACCAAGTTGGTACATTGTTCACTGTATACCATGGTGTATGTGTACCAGGTGAAACATTGTTCACTGTATATTATGGTGTATGTGTACCAAGTTTAAACATTGTTCACTGTATACCATGGTGTATGTGTACCAGGTGGAACATTGTTCACTGTATACCATGGTGTATGTATACCAAGTTGGAACATTGTTCACTGTATACCATGGTGTATGTGTACAAGGTGAAACATTGTTCACTGTATACCATGGTGTATGTGTACCAGGTGGAACATTGTTCACTGTATATTATGGTGTATGTGTACCAGGTGGAACATTGTTCACTGTATACCATGGTGTA